TAAGTTTGATTTTTAAATATGCAGCCCAACTGTCTATAAGATTGAGATACAATTAAAGAGAGTTTTTGATGTGTACTAGCGAATGTACGGCTAGGATAATTGCCGTATTTTCCGCGAATTGTGCCGTTTGAATGTTGTCTAATTTTGGAACGTCAGAAACGTATAGATTAAAAAGTGTAGGGGAAAGTGGTAAACCCTGTGGCAAGCCTGCACTTATTGGTCTCGGATTTGAATGATGACGTTTACGCATACTGAAAACGTTCTATTGTTAAGGTAGGAGGATACTATTTGCGTGAGATGTGGGGTAGCTATCATTGTTATTTTGTAGATCATTGCTTTATGCCATACTCTATCACAGGCCAGGGTGATGTCAATAAAAATCCCGACCGTGAGCTTTTTATTTTGAAAGCCTTTGTGGATGCATTCCGATAATCGCAAAAGTTGATGGTTGGTAGAAAGTTTTTTGGTGAAGCCAAATTGTTGCTTGGGAATTGCATTAGTCTGTATCAGAAATGCTTTTAAACGTGTAAGCATAGCTTTCTCGAATATTTTTGCTAGGGTAGGGAGTAAACGGATAGGACAGTAACTTTCGACAAATGAGGGATTCTTATTTCGTTTGGGAATCGGTGTGATGACAGAGTGTTTCCATACTATCGGAAAATATCCGATTCTGTAACACGAATTATATATATTTGTGATGAACGTCAGATCAGAGGGATGAAAGTACTTGACTATTATATTACTTATGTTATCGTGCCCAGGGGATTCTTTAATTGGCAGTTTGGTTATGGGATTTTTTATTTCTTTGGGTGATTTTAACTTAATTCTTGAGTTCGGTCCGTAAGTAGGAGTATATGATGAATTATTGATTACTTAGGAAGATGAATGCGTGGTGGAAGAGATTGCGTGGTGTTAGTGGTAAAGGTGGTCGGAAAATAATTGACGAAATTTTCTGCCTTTTGAAAGGGGGTACATGCTTTTGTTGTTGCTGCTTTAATTGGAGGAATTATGATTTTTACCTGAGTATCTTTTTCGTGAATTGCCAAATTGTGTTGTTTTGTATATTGAGAGACTGAAATTGGTTCTTTTTAAGATTATTCTAGGATATATCAGAGAATATTTAGTTCGTGTTTGACGCTATTACTTTTGAAGATAATTTGTTTTTTTCCAAGCATTTGCCTTTAATTTCGACTTTTGGGTTGTCGTATAGATGATAGAATTGAGAAATGACACTGATTGGTCAATCTCGAGAGGGGTGTGTAGTATTTTAATTTCGGGGATTAATGAATTCAATTCTGTTTGAAACTTGGGTTAAATTTTTGCTTCGGAAAATGGAGCATGAGGGGAGGAATTTGTTGGAAGGTTATGAGTACGGGAATGTGGTTTGAATCTAATTCGAATTTTGAAATTAGCGGGAAACGTGAAATTTAAGAGATGAGTTTGTTATTCCTATGTCTAATATGTCGGGAGCCCTTGAGTTGTCATGGGGATAGCATGTAGGTTCCGGTGTTATTATTACATTCAATGTGGAAGCATTTATAAAATGTGCCAGGATTTTTTCCGTCACGATATTTTTTTGCATCCCCATGACTTATGTTTTGCGTTCATGTCTCCGAGTATTAAAACTTTATTGCCTGCTTGAAATACATTTTTAATGCTGTTTATGTTTTGTTTATGATCGGGATGTTTATAAATTGTTATCATTTTCCACGATTGTTGTAATATTTCGTCATTAAGAGCAATTACATCTATTTCATTGAATTTAGGTATTGGTATGATGAGATGTTTTGTGTTTGAATTGATTACCATTAAGATTCCTCCTCCTTTGTTCGTGATCTATCTTTTCTGCATGTGACATAGTTTGGACAGAAAATCTTATAGCTGGGTTTTAAATGAGTTTCCGTAATGTAAGCAACGTCAACATTATAGGTATGGAGAAATTGCGTAAATTCTATTTTTTTATTAGCAATACTATTCGCATTCCAGTTCATGAAGGTTATTATGTTGTTAGTGTGTTGTGCTGCCATGGTTGCTATTGAAGTAAGATGACAATGAAGTTTGTATATTACTGATTATTGCTGGGATAATTAAATTGATTACGTGTATGATATGAGTTGTAATGGAATTTATTAGGGAGTGTATGAATGCATTATTATTATTGCTGTTATTATTAGAGTTTGTGTTGTTTGGTGTTGGGTGGTTTTGGTTGGACTGATAAAGAGGATACGATATGGAGGTTGAAGTAGGGACGAAAGTAAAATTAGGAATGCGGGTGGGAGATATGGAAAATTGTGAGAAGGTAAGCGAGATGACGTGTTATTGTTGGGTCACTTTGTGGGGTTGGTTGTGAAGTTTTGGATGGTGGTTCTCCAATATGAGCTCCGTTAGGGAGGGTAGGGTTCAGTTAGTTCTTTGTAGAATCGTCAGTCGTCAGAGCGGACCTTTGCACGATGAGACCCGTTGCATACTTACAAACAGGGGTGAGCATTTTATTTGGACAATTCACCGAATAATAACATTTTGATCAGTAGATACAGGCTAAGGTGTAGTTACAATTATTGCGGGTAATACCAAAGTTTAAACTCCTTGGGCATTGCATGGATCCTTTCGTTCTACGTCTTTATTCAGCTTTCACCGTTAAGTTACAAATTTTCGTTATAATACGATGTATATGCTTTGTTGACGGTTAAACTCGGCAGCTAGCAGTGGGATAGGAATGTTGTCTTTGTCCTGTCTGGTAACACTGATTAGCGAAGGACACTTTTCTTTAACATTCTCGAAGATGTCATGTATTGATAAACATTGATGAACTATTTTAAAAACTATGGAGAATTTTTTATTAGCAGTGTCTTTATAGGTGTGAACATTTTTTTCAGAATTTAATAAGTATTTAATTGTTTTTATGAAGCCGGTAATTGTTTTGAACATTAGCTTTATTCAGTTATTTATTATATTAAAGATGAATTGATTAGAAATATTGTTTTTGATTTCTCTATTAAACTCTGATAATGTTGTTATGTAATTAAAAGTTGTTAAGTTCTGTTATGTTAAGTTAGTGTATTCTGCCACCGAGTTCTCAGACTTAATTATTAATAAATCTAATCTAATCTGATTCACATAAATTGGTGGAATCTTGACATTTTCATCTTGTCTTGGGGTGATGTTAATGTAATTAAACCTGGAATCAAGGTCTTTTAGATTTGCTAAGGGAGAATATCTATTACCAACTGGCACTGAAGATACACTTTTAGGATTGTGGATTGTTTTTTTAGGGAGATTTTCATTTTCATTCGAGTCGTTAAATGATCTCGTTCCTCTATATGTTGAACTGTCCGCAGTATCTTTGTTTTCACTTACTGTTTTTGTTACGTCTTGGACTGCATCGTTGGCAGTTTGCTGATCGCTGACCTTAGTAGCGCCGCTTGTCGTTAGTTCCTGAATTTCAGGAATTGGAATTTCCTGGATTCCCGCATGCGGCGAATGTTGATTGAAAATAGTATATTGAAGACCAATGTTGCCTTGTTGTGTGCTTTGATGATCACCATGGGATGGGTGCGTCTTGATGAATGAGGCGGCCATGGCGCAGTTTGGATTATACAGAGCGGCCAAGGCCCCGGCCATGCTTTGCCCTAGGCCAGGGTTGCTGGGTACTAAATCACTTTCAATGGTTTATGAATTTAGTACTGAAATTGGTATCACTAACTGACACTCCAGTTGATGAAAGTACGTTATACCGTTACAATAACTTAAACAAGCCTTACCGGGAGACACTTCACTGTTCGGAACAGAGCTGAGCGCTATGTGGACTCCGCGACGGCTCGAAGCGAACTGTCAGGAGAATGGCAAGGACTCCGGGAGGAAATGTGAGGCCACTGTGTTTTGCATAATTGCTGTAAGAAAGGCATCATCGCGAAATATTCCTCATATTCCGAATATTTCTATTTCTTTAGATGACTGTTTACAATTATTACAACACTAGCATCATTTATTATCTGAGAATTTCAGAAATGCAGGTAGTTCCGGAATGGGTTCGGAGAATTTTAAGAATACCTCGCGTTCTGTTAAATTCTTCACCAGAGTTTTCCGCTAAAAAGAAGAATTCTGAAAACAGAAATGAGTAACTACGCGCAGCGTGTACAATAGGGTGATCATATTTTCCGGTTTGGGATTTTGTCTTCAGATAAGGGTGGGCATCTCCGGGTTACGAACAGGTCTTAGAATTGGGATTAGCTTAGAAAGCGTCACCCGAAAACCCTCACGTTACACTCGGGGTGGAAATTGAATTCACATAATTCGTATTAAGATATTTAGAATAAATTCAGATTGAATGTGAGTATTCTTGCCACTGATAGAAACTAATTGCATATAATAAAGTGTAAAACGGTCAAAATTGTAAAAAATATACATAAATTCTTCACGTAGAATGGTATTACAGAAACGAATAATCCCAATTCGAAATAGAAAGAATGTGATGTTATGATTTAAAAACATTCAATCAAGGAGGTTAATCAATATGCTTTATAATTAAGTCAATAATTAATATGCTTTAGCATTATCAGTCGTGCAAGCAAACAGCGAGTCGGGACACAGTGCAATTGTTCCACTGATGACAAGGCAAATAAACGTTTGTAGATTACATCAATTCTTACATCAGAAAATGATTTTACACTTATTCGAAACTTTTCATAATGTCAGTGGAGAATAATCTAACATACAGTGTATGTCTATTTTAAATGCCAGTCCTTGAAATATAATAGAAGGAAACTGAAATCCTCATTTATTTCTCAGTGCTTGCGTATGCTCATATTCCCACTAAAAGCGGTTTCCTGAGAAAGATCTTCAGGTGATGAGTATCTCCCCGACTACGACGTCCAGCTGTAGAGCCAGTCAGCTCGTGCGCAGGTATACGGTTATGTTGCGGGGATTACGTCATAGATTCCTCGATTACGTTATCTCTAGCACATGAGGATGTTCAGTGCAACAAATCTATTTCCTTGCAGTTCGACAAATCAACATCCAGTATCCCAACAGCAGTCACCGCAGAGGGAGAGAGAGCACGCTGGAAGAGTTCGAGCGGAATCGCTAGTTTGAGGTAAGGCCCATAAAGTGCAACTTGAAGCGCCATATTAAGGAAAATTGCAGCACATAGTAACAGTGATATAAGTGTGGACAAGGATAAATGTGTACCACACGTACGAGTGTATTAGTAGTACGAGTACTCAGACATTTTCCTTTACAACCTTTTCATCGCATTTTCTAAGGAATTGTACTAGAGATATAACGAGAAAGAGTAACAAAATAACCTTGATAGAGCATTTAAATATCCAGGATATCGGCAATGTAAGAATAGAGTATAAATCGACGAAAACGAAAGTTAAAATATCACGAGGACATTGCACTGCAAATATTTCATTCATCCGCCTTACGTTATAAGCAGCTGAGTACGGTCATCACTTTCTGTAGTTAAAATCAACATTACGAAGGAAAATATATATTTACGGAAGTACTTCATCAATATTAAATTTCATGAAACAATGTACCGGACTCTCTGAATTCCGTACGACGTTAATGAAAATAATATTCGAAGTTTAATTGTAATCGAGTTTGAGAGAGCGATGATGTTTGCGACTTCACAAAAACGGCCATTTTTTAATAATAATGAAAATTTGTTTTATAAAATGCTACCCCATTTTTACTACAACTTTTCAACAAATCTGGACCCTACATTGTTTTTTTAAGACTCCAATTAGGGACAAAACATTGAAGAAATAAATTAAATGAGTTTGAAAAAATATTTTAGTGTCTGTTTTAATAAGGTTAAAAAACTATTACAATTAAACGAGATAACAAAAGTTAACATATATCTTAAAATTCGAAGTCTCCACTTTGCGTGATTTTTATATAATTTTCTTGAAACATCGAATATGACTTTAAAGGAAACGTATAATATCCAAACCACAGGGTAAAGAGCCCACATAGCGTTTCCACCCTCTGATTTCTACCATCAACCAATGTCCGCTTCTAAGAACTATTGTTTGGCAGCGGTCACGAGAACCTGTTGTTTACCCTGCTGGCAGTTGTCGAAAATAGTGGTGTTTGGCATCGGAAGTCGGCAAGTAGCCTCAGATTTTTTTTCCGAATACGAATTCATTTTTCAAAACTTTTTTAAAATTATCACTGCGACACTGAGGGTACATTTCGTTCTCTTTACTATTTGTCTGGTCATAGATTACAGTGTGCACTAGGATGGTGTTAACGTTGGCCAGGTCACCTTGAGCTATAGCTGCGGTTCCCCTCCCCGCCTCCCGAAGTTTTATTACCAACAACAAGTGTGTGCTGTGTGCCTAGCTTCAGCCAATCGGTAAGCAATAATTCTTTCTTCAATGAAAATAGGGCCACTGTTTAATTTAATAAGAAATAATTTCCAAATGTGACGTTCTGTTTGGAAATGGAGGACTAATAAAATGGGTTTGATTATTCCCCATTAACATTTTCAAGAAATCATCTGTTGCATTTCCAATCAACCCACAGTCGATTGATTTATTGATTGACTGCTATTTCCGGCCACGTCATTAGTCCCGTTTGAAACCCCAAAGATGGCTGCCACCTAGCCGTACCCAGCACGGTTTTCAGTTTCCATATTTTTTCCGACCATGTTGTAAACGTTTGTAAGTGATCCACGTTGCTTGGACAAGACCCACCGAAGCTAGTAAAAGTGTTTTCCGAAAGTTAACTTTGGGAACGCAATAATTAATAAAATTATTATACTTTATTGTGGATGATTATTTACTTTCTTACATTATGGATTACCACAATATATCTGCTACCACCACGGAATTTAGTGAATTTTATATCCCGGAGGGAGGTGGAGATTCTTTCCCCCAGTGGATGGTGAGATCCGGGGCTACACGTGAGCTGGGGAACACTTCAAGGTATCTCCTCCATCGGGGCACCACGCCACCCGGGTCAAGCTCTTGGCTCCCAACTAGTCTACAGATAGTGTAGTGCATGCGTGCGTGTGTGTAAGAGAGACGATATCGCAAGGAAGAGGAACGAAAAATTAGTGGCCTGTTTGTTACGGTATTTTTCCGGCATTCGCCTGGTGTTTATCGGAGAACCCACGGACTCAGCCGCCTAGAATTCTGCTCTACTCAGCGGCTGAATTAGATCTAGCTCTACAGCTAGTGACGAAAATCGGTCACCGTCAGAGGTCGAACTCTAGGGCCTCCCGGAGACGCTGCAGAGACAGCAAGCACACGAACAATGGAAGAGAAAGAACAGTGTGACTGGTCACTGTGACGATTCTTTAGGTGTGGACTGCTTCACTTGTCAAGAGTCGATCTTCATAAAGCCAAAAAAGCGAAACGTAAAATCCACCCCACATACACCGCACTCTTCAAAGGGTTGCTTGGAAAGTGTGTCAGTCATAAAAGCAATTTAGAGTGAGTCCCGAACGCACGAGAAAGTAAAGATCGTTTTTATATTTGATAAATGAAATTACATTTCGTGATATTTTTCAAACGATTAAAATTAAGTTTAAAAAATAAACTTAAGAAAGAGAGTTTTTCAGAATAAAAGTATGTTTTGATAATTGATTTCTTATACTATGACGAGGTGGTTTCTACCCAAATTGGAGCTTCCCACTAAATAAAATCTTCGAGGCGAAATTAAGAAGATGGGAGTGGAAATTATAGGATCACAGGGCGAAATTAGGAATTACTATACTTTCAAAACTTTCATTTTGTAATGTTTTCATAACGTTTCTAAATTCATTAAAAATTAGTGTTCTTTTTTATTATGTATTAATATGAATATATTCATATGTGGTATTTATATGTGTTCATATTTGGGCAGACTCTATCCCAAGGAAATTTTAATTGAAATGAAATTTTAATCCAAATTAATTTCTTAAGATTTTAAGGTCGCCATTACGATTAATCCCCCAGATTATACCGGTTCCAAAGAAAGGTACATTCAGTTGTGCTTGCTGAACAATGCAACAAAAATTACACCTATTGACTTAAACTCATTTCAGATCTTTTGTTCAGCAATGTCTCCTTGTTATATCCTCTAATCGCAGAAAAAAATCACATTCCTGTACCCAGTTCCTAGAGCCCAATTTACTAAAAGTATTTCTTAAATTATTGAGGACGAACTTTTAAATTATTTCAACATTTTCTCTAGATTAATCAAACGAGAAAAAAAGAAATCTTTGATGTTCAATAATGATCAACGGTAATCAATAAAGCAACAAGGACTTTACTCAACTCTTTACTCTAATTTCAGAACTTTCATTTTGTAATTTCTTGCTACACGTTCCTAAACCCGTACACACAAACCAACTGCACAAGTTACTTGGACACTTTTTAAGAGAGCGGTTTCATAAAATTACAAAATGCTATCTCGCGCGTGAATAAAGGTCGGTCATGTTCAAATTTTAACTCTCGCGGCTCGACGGAATGGAAGCTGAAAATTTTTCGCGTTAATATAAAGGCGCCTGCCGTGAGTCCTGAACGCTCCAGGCCAGCACGGCGTGACGTCGCTACCGCAGGGACTACTTGAATTAGAACAGGCGTAAATTCCAGCCGTGAAATTCTCCATTGCTTTATTACGTCGGGCCCGGGACTTGAGATTCTGGCAGATGATTTTCGCTCCGTTACCTACTGCGTTAAAATGCAGCTGGCTGGAAATGACGCTCGCAGAGTACCTTAGTAACCTTTTATGCGTTCTGGAGGCTAAAGCGTATATTTTCTCGTAAAATGAGGCAGAAGATAATCTCTTGAAAGATGGTACTATTCGCACTAACTGCGTCCTTTTATTACGCAATTAATTACGCGAAAATGGACTTACAAAACCGTAAGTCCCGCATCGAGATTGATCCAACAGTTTGCTTTCACACAATTTCCGTTATAGTACCCAGTCCAAAATGGGTAATTCCAGACAGATTAGTAATAGAGTGGAACGAATGATACAATATGTAAATGATAAAAATATTAATACACTTACCCTCGAAATTAATGTCCATAATCTGATTTATTAAACTCGTAGATCCTTTTGTTGCATATCTTTACTCTCTATCGTTTGACATTTTTAAGCTTAGTGTTCTCGGCAAGTTGTCTCGCCAGTTGAAATGCTTGTTTTCAGGAAATGAACTTGGAAATTCTTCATCACAGTTGCAGATATTCTCCAAAGTAAAGCTATTTTCGAATTGAAAATAATGTTGAGGATTTTTAGCAAGTTTGAGAAGTCTCATTTTCTCTCTTACTAAAGGCTTTCTGGCTTAAATATTAAGGTAAATAAACTCGTTTTTCCAAGAAAAAAATAAGGTGAGAGGAATTGTAATCTACATTATTACTCTCATTTCCGTGCAGAGATTGAAAGAAAACCCTGCAACCTCCAACCACGTGAGAGATGTCTATGGCTTTGTTTTATACTCAGGAGCTCGGGGAAAACAAAAATTTCTAAATTATTAATTTCCAGTGCGCTCAGGAAATGGAAGAAAGAAATTCTTCAAAACCAACAAAACAATAAAAGTTTCGAATTTTACTGAAAAATGCCAACTTTATACTGTGTTACACCGCCTGTTCTAAGTCTGCGCTGCCGATGGAATTCTCACACTCGAGCGACAGTGCTTTGGACACAGCTGGCGTCATGCGAGAGCAAGTTTCCAAGGAAAGACCACCCGCTATGAAATGTTTAATAATTATGTGTTGCCTAATGAACATGAACTTCTTTAATATTATTCGTATGTAAGGACCAAAACCGTCCTTACGTATGTAACAGTTGTATTTCGTATATAATATACTATGTTTTTGCAGTATTTCGTAAAGACTGTTAAAATATTCGTTAAAATATTTCATTTCTTTAAGTGTTAGAGTATTTTTTATTTGTTGTTCTTGAGCAATTTGAACTTTCTGGAAACCCATTTTCTTCAACAGCATTTTTCTAGCTACAGGCTACTAGTAAGTCTAATTCTGATGAAGAGGTCTCGGATTCTGATGACAGGTCTTCTTTTCATTGGTGTATAGATGTATGGCCGTTGTAAAACAATTAAATGTTTATCACGACATACAGTTGACAGAAATGTACAAT